TCAAAACCAAGTATAACAAAATGAATGGACGACGCACGAGATCAGCACCGTGAGGGTCAAGTTCTCCACCAAAGTCACCCTCCTCGATGTTGATGTTGGGACCGTTGATGAAGCCAACCATCTGGACATACTCGTCGGTCTCGATGACCTGCAGACCGGTGATAGTTCCCTCGGGGATCAGACGTGCGCCATGGTCGTTTGTGCACCAGGCGACCTCCTCGCCCTCGGTGTTGGCGATGATGTCGAGCTTGTCAGGCGCCCAGAGACAGAAGTCTGCGCATCATGTAAGCAACGTCACGCGCAGGGACGACGCGTAGTACGCACCAGAGATGCTGTTGACAATGGATGTCTGGCACTTGGAGTCCTGGCCAGCGGTGGTCGAGTTACAGATGTTGTAACCGAACTGGGTACCTCTGATGAGACCCTGGTCGGTGTCGACCTGGTATGGCTGGGGAGGGAAGCGGTCAGCGGGAAAGCAAACGGCGGGTACGATGGCGGGCTACTCACAAGATCGTTGTACGCAAAGGTTTTCTCAGCGAGAGCGGTGGCAGGGTAAGTGCCAGTCGCTTCCTGTGCCCTCACATTCTGGACACCCACGGCGAGCAAAGAAGCAGTAAAAAGAGTGACGGCAGCCATTGGATTATATATGACCAGTTGGATATAGAGATTTCAAATTGCCGAAGACGCGGGGAGAGACGAGAGGTAAAAAGTCTGACTGCGGGGCGTGGAGAGCAGCGACGAAAAAAGAAACAGGTGGAGACAGGTGGGCAACCGGCACCACAAGTCTCTTGATATACCCTCCATCAGCGGAGTTTCATTCTCCACGCGAGACGTCGATCGAAAACGGAAGTGTGACAGTCTATAAATAGCACAACAGACGCGTCCGCTTTATCAATCGCATCTTTCTTTTTTACCACCGCCATCTCGAACGCGACTTTCATCATGCCTAAAGCTGCTCCTGGTACGTGCAAGTTAAAAGCTGTAAGTGGAATGCTAACCCGCCCTAGCCAAGTCTGTCGCTAAGAGTGCTTCCAAGTCGTCGAAAGGTGTGTCCTTGACCGTCATCACGTCGGCTCGCCTAACTCGTTTACTCAGGATTTCAAAAGGAGGACAAACCCAAAGAGAAGCGCGCGCCCTCTGCCTGGAACGTCTATTACACAGAACATCTCCCTGCATGGAAGGCCAATCCCGCCAATGCTGACAAGAAGATCCATGCTGCCATGGCCGAGGTGCGTCTTGACTTGAGCGCATATATGCGTTTCTAATGTCGCGTAGATTGCTGGTCTCTGGCGCAATGACCCTGCGAACCCCAAGCGTGGCCAGGCGCCGCGCAAGAGGGCCAAAAAGTCTGCCGATGGACCACCCGTCGATGCCTCGTCTTCTGCTCCTTCCAGCTCTCAGTCTATCGCCGACAGCGACGATTAGGAACGCATATATGTCGACTTCTGCGCTCATTCTTTGCTTGTAACTCCTGCTCCTTCTTCGCTTCCTTGACGCTATTCCTGCTCTCTTCTGGGACACTGTAACAAGAGTCTCTGCCTTTCTCGTTGCTGTATCACCATGGACGCTATGTGGATTTTGTAGCGCAAGCATGTAGTATTTCTGCTCTGTAAACCATTGATTTATGCGATTGTACCGCGTTTACTTGTCAAGGTCGAATGTGCCCCACTTTGGCGTGCTTCTGATTTGTGTGACTGCCATTTTATTCGCTATCGCGCCGTCCTGTGGAGCGTTCAGCGCGCCGCCAAGCGCATTTCGATAAATCGCCTCCGAGCTTGTCACGTCACGCTCACTTTATGAGCGCTCCTATAAATAGCCCCGCTGATCATGTCCAGGGACACCGTATGCCCAGAATACGCGCCTGATACGCGCCCTTCTTGACGTTGCGTCGGGCACTAAACATCAATATTTCAATCTTTTATGAATACTTTTGCTTCTTTTTCACTTGTTTCTTGCTTTGAACCTGTTTCCGCTGGAAGATACCGTAGCAACGGCGCCCGAGCAACTGGGCCAAAGGGTCCGTCTGGGGAAGCATGGCTGTGCCGTGGCAGCCTGCAGACAGTGTGAGTGGCACACTCTACTCACGATGCAAGTGTGGTGGTGCGTACACGTCCTGCAAGCCTCTTGAGCGGGATTGGGATGTCTGTTCCCCATAGCCATCATCGAATCCGTGAGGCAAAAGGCAACTACCATCAGCGCATCTCGAGCACAGCACGGCTGTTACTCGTCCTGGTCGTCGTCGGAATATTCTTCGCTCTGCTGAAGAGCGCATGGCCAACCGAGGATTCGACGGACTCGTAGGTCCGTGTACGCTGCGTGCAGCGTACTTTGCTCCAATTTCAGAACAACACGGACTTGCAGGTCCGCGAGCTTGCCATGACGAGCGTTTTCTCGCTTTTAGATGCCAGGGATACCACGGACAACTCGAACATCATCCGACTCGCGAGCCGAACCTTAGGGAAAAGCAAGAAAAGTTCTCATTTTGTCACCGCCAAAACTGTATGGTTTCGAGCCCGTACTTTGGACGTGCAGAGCAGCACTACAGGTAGTAGGGTATCTAGACTACCATAGCCATCTGTACCATGAACGACATTAAAAGCCCTCGCGCGAAACAATGTTACAGAAGGGCTGATTTAGTTCGACGTCTCTTGAATCGTTAGAAGTCCCATAATAAGGAGCAAGAATCATGACAGGTGTGGCATTATCATCATCGTCATCTTCCAGAGGTGTTCGCGTCCCCGGTTCGAGTCTCCACCTATACCTGTAATTCGTTTCCGCCCTGCTCATCAAAGTGATCTCGACGCGTTGTGTCTCAGCATACTTGTGGTAATCCATCCAGATGACTGGAGTTGCTGCGTCGCTCTCTTGCGTGCGCGTAGAATACGCATCCAGCATCTTGTCGATGTCTTTTGCATGGACACGGGCGTCGCGGCCGGCAATAAATGCGAGGTACTCCGCATCTCCAGGTCGAAGCGTATCCACGTTCATAGCTAGACATATCAGTACTGACACAATGCTTGCACCAAAGAAAGACGTACTGTTTGACCATTGTCTTCGATACAACTCACAGTAGACTCTATGCCCAGCTTTCCAGGCCTCACGCTGACATAGTCTGGAGCAGTAATAGTGATGGTAGCACCCCGAGCAGCGAAACGTACACGAAGGTTGCGATGAGTTGGAACACTGATGCTCTCTGTCAGTCCAGGAGTACCGTGGGTGCAAAAAAGAAATACCGTCTCATTTGCGCATTCGGAAATGCAGGCTGCCTTGTACCAGCGCATCTCCGCGCCCAAGGCGTTGGATCTCGCCTCAAGACGGTTGAGCGCGAGCGCCAGCGAAGCTTCCGCGCGTAACATCCGTCGCGCTCCGCTGATTTCGATAGCACGAATTTGGCGCGCACAGGCTTTTCGAATCGATGGCCATACGAGAAAAGGAATGAGCTTCATGCAGAACGTTGCTTCGCCAGTCTCATTGCGATGCGGAAGATCAGGCGCGATTGCTGCACCAACGAGCGCTTGAAGAAGACCCGCATCCAGAGCAACGAGCCAAGCGACGTACCCCCATTGGAAGAAGGTGTCCATAATCGCTTCTAGTGTGCTGATGAGTTTCTCTCTGGATGTACTCATGGTGCCGCGACACCGAGTGCGGCGAGAGACGAAGCGCTTCAAGAGACGGACTAGACATGGCAGCCCCTCGTTATCGAACAAACGATACGGAGTGGTCGTATCGAGCAGGATAACAAAATATTCTAGTTGCACTGAATTGAGATCGTTCCTGTCCTCCAACAAATGGGTGCACATGACGACCAGTGCTTTGGCCAGTGTGTCCGGATCGTCATTGGGAAAGTAGCTTCTAGGACGAGGTAGTAGCGCAGGCTTTCCAGTTTCCGTAGCTGTAACCATTGTCAATTTTGCCATCATGAAGAGTTGCGTGGCCAGCGCAGACGGGCGTACAAAGATCCCCTCCGCGGTATAGCGACACCACAGAGAGAGAAGGTTGGGGAATAAGGGAGTCCATGCTGTCCTTGCCGCGCGGCTGAGAATGTGATCCTCCATTTTGGGCGAGGAGAACATCCCAATGATGGCGCGTTCGATAGCGAGGGCAATGTCTGGGCGAGCGGGAATGACAGAATCGTCTAAAACCGTCGAGTTTCTTATGAGGAAGGACATACATCCACTGATGGCGAGCCATAAAGGAGAGGCCATATCAGCGAAGGCAGGGCTCTCGGTGACTCTCCAATCTTCCAGCGCGCACGACATAATCGCCAGCCAGGACAACGTCGCCGGTATTCCAAATGTCTCGAGTGAGGTCGCAGCCGGAATCTTCATCCCAAGAAAGATGTTCTTCACTTCATCGAAGGAGATTTGCTTGGTTTCCATGAGCCCTTCGAGTTCCTGTATTGCCGCCAACGACCCGGCGCGCGCTGCAGTCTATACGTGCCATGTAAGAAAAGGAATACGATGCCACATGTGGCTAGTATGCACCTGTATACGCTTCAAAGACTCAGGATTCATGGCGGAACTATGCTCGATGATGGTAAGAGACTGAAAGCGCTGCTCGGACTTCGGTCCGAAGTCCTGAGGCAGCTGCTTGTTCGCAGATTAGTCGCTGCACAATCGCATTACGAGCGCTTCAACGCCTCATCCTGATATTCAATCACTATCTTTTCCCCCATGCGCTTGAGTCCCTTGGATGGCAGCAGAAATAAGCCTCGGGGCTACTAAGACAGATTTTCTTTGATTTTTGTTGTCCTACTTCTTGCATCTTCATTGAATCGCCTCCACAATGTCTTTCTCATGCGCTCCCGATCCTCAGTCTGTCTTCCTGACGAGCGGTGAAGTTAGGGCAGTGTGCGTTTTGTTTGGATTTCCATAACATATCAAAATACCCAAGGCCGAGATTTAGCGGCTTGGTTGTCTCTCTAAGGCGTACTATGCCGCTTGATCCTCGGATTTACCCCACTCCCGCTCTGCTGGCAGTCGCAAAAGCGATGCCTAGCACTCTCTGCCCAGGAGTCGAACCTGGCTTTCGCCCGTGACAGGGGCGTGTACTAACCGATATACTAGCAGAGACACTAGTGCAAGAATGTACCATGAACTTGTTGTGGTCGTTACGTCTGTATCGACAGGCGCAGCGCACGATCCGCTATGCCTGCTCGATGCAGCCCACTCATTATTGGCGAAGGCACTTCACTCTCGTTGTTCAAAGCACGATATGAGCTTCCCAGTGGCGCAAGAAGATGCGGACGAGTTTCTATGAAGCCGTTATCCATCTTCGCTTCAGTATCTCTGCTAGTATATCGGTTAGTACACGCCCCTGTCACAGGCGAAAGCCAGGTTCGACTCCTGGGCAGAGAGTATACTTCGAATTCCAAGCCGTTCTTCACAACACGGGTTACTCTGATTCTTTTGCCGGTAGTACGTACTCTGTGCCACTGAGCATGTAGTCACGCATGACGTACATTGCTGCTAGCGCTGACTTCTTGGATCCAGTGCATTTGTTTGTAGCTCATGTCGCATGTATAACATGGGAGCTTTGTTTTGCTGTCGATCGTGGAATGCAGTGCATTGTCAACCAAATCACTTGGAGGCAGTTGGCCTGGACGTGCGGCGCGTACTCAATCAAGTTCTGTGCCTATGAGCGTGCTGAATCTATTTTCTATGCTTCTGCAGAATTTTTGAGAATACTGCGTTGTTCCAAATCCAGCAAGGGAAAGTCCAAAGCAAGTTGTCGATCCGATCATGTTGGTGTCTCCATCACGTGATAGGAAAACGATCGTCTAATCATTCTACCCATGTGCCAGGCTTTTGTGTGATTGTCACACAGTCCCGGAGGTACTTAAACAGTGACCACAACTACTCCCAGCTTTCAACTTGCCACCCCTTCAACTACCACGACAGATATGAGCGACGAGTCCGTCTGCGTTCACTATATTCCTTTTTTTTTTACTCATGTCATTCTTTTCAGACTCGACGAGTTCCTGACCGGGTCCGCCGATGCCTGGACATACCCGACCGCCGACTTCATCTTCTCACCGACACCCGAGCCCAACACTGCAATTCCACCGACACCCATCAGACACAGAGTTCCGTTGACTTCCTCAAAAAATAAATCAAAGTCTAAGACGAATGTCCCACGCATCGTCGAGAACCCACTGGCAACTCGCGCACCGCGCACCGTCAATGATCCACTTTGGACACACGCCGTTGACGACGACGTACACCCGGAAGTTCGTGCGGTGAGCACGACCCCCCGTTCCCCGGCCGAAAATTACCATCAGGGCAATGACTTCCCGCTCGTTGTCGATACACCACCATTCATTGCCCTCACTCCTCCGCAAGACTCCGAAACCGAGTTCTACCCACCACTCCTTGCAGAGACCCCCCGCTTCATCAGCTTGAGTCCTGCATTGTCGCGCAATTCATCGCTGACACTTGAAGGCTCCTCAAACGGCGGATTCGCGTACCTTCCTCTGCGAGTCGACACCCCGCGCTTCACCAGCATGACTCCCAGTGTCGTATCGTCGCGCCATGCTAGTCCAGAGACAATGGACCCACAGGATGCTACCCCGGCGCAACGATCATCGATTTCCGTGGCATCGTCGTATGAGGCTGATGTCGAGTCGAATCAGGAGGAATGGGAGGACGTGCCTCAGGCTTCGAGCTCGAATGAGGTCAAGAAGACGCAAAAAGTCAACAAGATGAATGTCAAGATTCCTCGAAAAGTCGGGGTGAAGCTGAACGCGGGTGGGTTCCCCAAACAAGGTCTAAAGACGGTTCGCATGTCAACGTTGGCTAGAGAGTCGACGTACGACCCCCACAAGATAAAAATGTCGAAGAGCGCCAAGTAGTCCACGAGGAAGTAAACAAGTAACACGAGATGACCTTCAACCACAACGAGTTTTTTCCATCCTTACATACACACGCACGAACTGCGCTCTGGTAGCATAGCAGCTTACTCTCATTTTCCCTCCTCCAGTTTTCACACTCATTTACATATACTTCTTCTCTTTGATTCCGTTCCGACAGTATCTACAATTTCCGTCTCATACTCCCGCCTTTTTACGCTCATTTGATTTTTCACTCAAATACATTCCGACCAATAACAGTACAATTCACAATCCGAGCTCACACTCAGAGGTTGTACCGGCCCTTGATCAAGTCAGTCCACCAGTTTCTCAGCATCTATAAAACGTCATATAAGTCTTTAGTAACACGAAAGAGACTTTTCCACTTACCCATCCGTCAAAGTCCGTCACCTCCGTCGCACTTCCCGCCAGCATGATGAAGTTAGTCACGCCCGTCGGTGTCCAGTCGTAAAAGTCGTCCAACGCAAAAGTGTGGCCGATCTCATGCTCGATGATGTGTGGGTTTTCGGTATGCATGGCTTCGAGGAAATACTCCGTCGATGTGCGCTGTCCCCAGTCTCCGCCTGCACCTGCGTCACCCATACCATCTGTGAGCCACAGAGACATGTCTAATACACGTTGTTTAGTTGGAATTCTGATTCTTTGAGAAATAAGGACGCACCGTAATGCCCTTCCTGTCCGGCTGCACACCCTGAGTAGTTGTTGTCCTGGTGAAAGAAGCGGCCGCAGGATTCGGCGCACTGCGGGATACCCTCCGGGTCAGTGTCGGTGTAGACGTTGAATCCAGAGCTGTCGCCTTGGAGGAGAGACGTGTCTTTCACGGCCCAGCCGACGACGGTGACAGGAATGGAGGAGAAAGGGAAGGCGTCATAGCCGTACAGCCATTCCATCCACTTTTCATTGGAGTAAGTATGAGGCAGACAGCGAAGTTGGATGTAGATACCTTTCCTACGGAGCGTTCGATAGCGCTAGCGATAGTCGCACGATCTGCTTCGGTGGAGACCTGGTCCGAGTCCCAGCGTACACAATAATTGATGCTCCCATTGGTGGCCATGATTTGCTTTGGAATAGAAGTCAGTAAGTTTAGTGCATGCAACCAGGAGAACAGGCTCACGTCAAATCCGTAGTTTCTGAATCCAGTTGGGTCGGAATACGTCGACATTTCATGGTCCCAGGCTTCTTTCAGAGGCGTGACCAGGTTCGAGGGCGGGTCCCACGTCGTTGGTTCGATAGCCCGCCTCGTTGGGAGCGTTGACCGCGCATTGCTGGAGGAAGCGAACGACTCAACGGGCCGAGTAGATTGCTGGAGCGGAGGAATACTAGGTGCGGCCATCGCAGAGGCGACAAGCGCAAAGACGAAGGCAGAAGAGAACATCGTAGTTGAGATAGCAAGACAATGCAGATAAGAGATGGAGAGCAGTCCTTATAAGCTCTGTCGCAAGCGTTCCTTGTTTCCATCTGCATAATAATCGGAATTTCTTCGTGTAGAACTTGCACATGGGGGATGGGTCGAACGGCACATAACGACCGGCCTGGTGATTGACTGCCACCGCTATAGGCCCCATTCCGGAGGGGTTTAGGCTATTCCTCGTTTAAGAGAATAGGCGAAGAGTCCAGAGGCGGTCTGGTGAGGACTGGTAGTAGGAGAGGTCGTAGTTGCTTGGGAAGGAAGACATGTGCGATCGAAGCTTTCGGCCCAGCCGGCGCGGACTGCGAAGCACCACCAGTTCCAGTGGCGCCAATCTGCGACTCTATCTGAACATCAAGTTCACACGAAAGCATTTTCCAGAGATATCTATAGATGGTGAAGGTATGAATGTGTTTAATGTGTTCAATCATGCTCGATGGTTTTGCCATATCAGCGTCAACAGTAGCAAATGACTAGAGTGTTCAAACGTTATCGTTAAGCTCTGGGTTAGCAATCGCACATAAGCCAGCCAGTGCTGTTCACTGTGGCTGCGCGATTGTTGAACTTGGGATCACGGCTAATGGCACTGGCGCTCATGTGTGTCACAATGAGTCGAACTTCGCCGTGCACATACCATGAAGGGAGCACGGGCAAGTCTCCCGGGGACTGCATGTAGCTACATAATACGTGCTATCCAGTCAATCATAGATAAATCGAAGATGAGAGTGCCACATAATGTAACCTCAGTCCGGTAGGAGACCTCAGTCGTGTTGTCAAACACAGATCTCTTATCCGGCGCCCTTGCACTACTTTGTAACTCAATGTGCTGAGAATGGCTGCTGATTTACTCACTTCGAATTCGGCCTGCGCGGGATTCAGCGCAAGAGCCCTCGTGTGCCACTGAGCGCTTCTCATTGACCTCTTATTCACTGTTTGCGTTAGCTGGTATATACGAAAGGCTGCCGATTTAATGTTAGGAAGCTAAAGAACCAGGTAGTGCCCCCGGACTGGCAGTGCCACTGCATGGCTGCGTTGAAACCAATTCAAAGTGCATCATAAACACTCTTAGTCAGCGCACCACAGTCGGCCGGCGATCGGTTAGGCATCGCTCCTACGTACAGACTGTCACGACACGGTTTCCCTCTGTGCAACGACCAGCAAACGACCAGCGAGCCAACACGAGGGTACAGCTGCAACGAGAACGGCCGGAACGCGATAAATCCCACATCAGCACCCTCTACAACACCCTGGACGTAGCTTGCAACCCAATCCAAGACACGATATGGCGCCCAAAACCAAAGCGCTGAAACTGAAGCGAGCGCTGAAGCTAGGCAAGAACCGCGGGACGCCGCTCGCTGGGGAGGACCCCATCGTACTGCTACGTGTGCAGATCCTGGGGTGCAAAGATCTGCTGGCGAAAGACCGGGGCGGGACCAGCGATCCGTGCGTCCATCCAGTGTCCCCTCGAAGCTGATGAAATGGCTGACCCTCGTCTTTGTGTCGATGTGCAGGTTTATCAACATATCTCTCCTCACCGCGCGGTTCCAGACACCTGTGATCAAGAAAACACTCGCGCCGACGTGGGCAGATGGGACGGCTACGTACAACATTCCGTTGTTCCTGAGCGTGGCACACGAGCTCGGCGTGCTGGAGCTCGTCGTGTGGGATAAGGACCTCCTCAAGAAGGACTACCTCGGCGAGGCAGGTATCTCACTCGAAGACTGGTTTGGTCCGGACTCTACGCGTTCGCGTGCATTGGGTTTCGACGATCAAGGCAATATGGTGCGTCACAAGCA